AATGTGATCAAGTACTTTAATTTGTCAGGTATTTCCTTGGATCAGCCAAAAAGCAGACATTCGTGTCTGGTTATTTTATCCCTTAGCAATTTCCCAAATTTCTTCCCATTAAAAATGACATTTATCAATATATTGTGAATATGAAATGACATGTGCTTACATTTACTAGAAGTTCTATCTAGGTCAGGAGTTGCCAGAATGGGCTCTAGATGGCTGCTGGCGGTGCTTGAGTGGGAATAAAAAGTTTAAATTTAAAATGACACAATGCCAGATGAAGCCTGTTATTCCTGCATGCCTAACAGTTTGCAGAGCCATTTTCAAAAATACAAGTCATATGCATTATTACAACTCTATGTGCTGTGCAAACTGTGTGCCATCTGTGCCATTTCTTTGAGGAGCTACTTTTATTATGATAATGTTCACTGTCTCTGTCATAAAACGCACTTTATTTTTTGCACGTAATCATAGAATTAGAGAAGGAAAACACTGGAAATTTGAAATTTTCATGAAAAATGGGTTAAAGCTGCACTGAGTCATTTTTGATTACAAGGGATCAGAGCATGGAATCCAAAACTCACAGTAACCTTGCTGTATTTAGTTAATTTATCATCTTTTTAAAATGTGATCAGACTGGACAAAACAGATTTCAAAGGGAGAGTGTTTACATACAACTGACCAAAGCAAACAGACATGTATTTGTTTATAGGCAACAAGGTCAGGACAGGTCTGCAACTTGCAGGAGTTCAAAATGTATATTATTGAGCTGTATGACTCCACTCCTCGAATGCACACAGACAAGAGTAAAACTGAGAGTCATTACTATGACTCCATAACAGACAGAATTTGAGATCTTGGTAAGTTTTGAGATCACTCCTAGAGTGAGCTGAGCTGTCACACTTTCACAGGCACAAACCCTATCACCAGACAAGAGCATCCATCGAGAACAATTCAGCAAAACCCCAGAATAGGTTCAGTGACACATGTTTTGTTTTTTCATCTAATGCCGACTTTTTAAAAATTCTTGCTTTTTGCAACATCTCCGTCTGGATAGTGGGTAGCGAACACTCATCTTCTGTGTGAAAGTGGTACTTGCTACACGTCCATACACCACTGAGACTTCCAAACAATACATTCCGCCTCGCTACATATAGAGCCAATGCTTTCATGCACAGTGGTATTGGACGTAAAGGTGCAGAATCTTCCAGTATGGATGTAAATCATAGGTACAGTGGGCTTCAGGCACAATCTGCACACACACTGTCAGTTAGCAGTTACAGGTCACCTCTATCAGGATGACTGACTCACAGCAAGTAGGCTGACACTGTGCTAAAACGAAGTGTAGAGATTGGTCTGGCTATGCAAGACTAGGTTGGCACTAAAAACTCTGCAGCCATCAAATTTGCATGAATAAAGCAAGATGAAAATTAACTTTGTGTTAAATCTTAACACGCCATTATGGCAGCAACATGAGAATCCCATCTGAGTCCACTTTGTCACCACCAGTAAAATTTAAGTCCAGTATTCTCTCACAATTTACCTCTGATTTGATTTGCTAACTCTAGAGGAGAATTCTGTCTCTTTTAGCTTGCTGAATGTTTCACTGTCCTCACCAGCCACTCTACTCCATTTTGTGCCATGCAGATAGTGTTCTTGTTTGAACTCAAATGGTGCCGTCTATGGTTTTAGAAGAGGTTAGTAAGAGTTAAATCCAGGTTTCATGGCCATCAGCTTGTGGATGTTTGTGCATTGGTCTCAGAAGAGTTTTTGGGTGGCAGCACCACTTTAAATTTCAGTATTGTGAACATGATTTTAGATTTTATTGTCTTTGCCAGATTAAATAACCAGTGCACAACTGCACATTCGGCCCTTCACCATTCAGCCTCTTGGAAGCTTTCCTCATTTTGCTTTTAACACTCACACACGGACGTAGTGATTATCAGAGCTCATTTAAAGCTGTCACTGACTGCTAATTAGCATTTAAGTTAATATAATACACCTGTGTAGCTACCTTTTGTAATGTGATTTAGTTACTTTCACATGGTGTCTTAATATTTTCCCCTCTTTCTCTACAAATTAAATCCTGAATGAACTGGAAAGTTAAGTCAGACGCCAACCAACTGTCAAACAAGCAAATCATCGCTCAATTACTATGAATCCCTCAAGATTTTACATCATGGGCAAGTAGTTTCGTAGAAGGAAATGGCTCCTAGTGGAACCATTCACCTCTAACAAAGAGGAATTGTAGTTCTGTAAAGTATGGAACTGCTATACATATTTTATATATACATATTTATGTCAGATTATTTGAATTCTGCTAAGATACACCCATACCGACCTGATTCCCTCCCATTGTTATGAGAAGTGCACAGTGTTTCCTCTCTAATTGCATCGGACGACTGCTTTGATTACAATGACAATGTAAATGTCGATGCTTGTTAAATGCATTCAACTAAACAATTCAGAGCTTTGAGCATGCACAGTGATTTCCAGAGTTTCTAAAAATCAAAGCAGGCAAGTTCCGTTTGGTGCGGCTCAATTGAAAACATGGTTAGAAACAACAGACTTGATTATGCAGGCTGAGAAGGCAATGGGATGGAGGTGCTCCCATCAGCACTCCAGACATTATGTAGGGAGTTACTCACCCTCTCTCCCTCTTTGTGTGTCAGACTCTCCCTCTCAAGGGTGAGCCATGAAAAGATGGGAAGTTTGAGCAGATGTAGCAGAATGTATCGTGAACTTGAATGTATTCCTGTAGGAAGCTTCGTTTCATGCCAAATATTGCATTTTTAATACTGACAGAAACTGGGATGCCAGATGACAATGTAGCCGCTCTACTCTCTACGGAGCTGATGATTTGCTGGATCAGATTTTATGTTTGTGAACTTCACATGGCAATTAGGATTCATGAACATTATATAATAATGTGTTTAGCCTGGTTTGGCTAATTAAAAAAAGGAGACAATGTGATGCAAATTAATATTATATTTTCAACATTTAGTTGCTCCTTTTATCAGCAAGCACAGGTTTTTCTTATATTAGAGTTAGACTACACTTGTTAGCTGGGAGTGTTTTGATGGGCAGCTGATAAGAAACAAGTTGAATAGATGTTAAATATTTTTTGAGCTTGACTGTTTATTCTTGACCTTTTGGAGATGGGTCCACTCACTTGTAAGAGGCTTTTCAACCACATAATGTGGTCTTCATCAGGATATCAGGAAGTTTTCTTAGTTGTCAAGGAACTGCAGATGTTCAAACTTTACATTATTCTGAGCCCTTTAATGACTTCTCTGTTTATTTGATGTTATTTCAAATGACTTTGGATGGTTTTCTGTTTTGTCCCTATTTTGTTTCATTACTTTCCCTTAGTATTGTAGTACTCGAGACCAGTCTTGGTCTTGAGACCGGTCTTAAGACCACTTTTTGATGGTCTTGTCTTGGTCTCGGACATAGCAGACTCAGGATTTTACTTCAACTTTGGGAATATCAATAAATTGATTTTGCATTGTCTGATTTATTAGTTAACATCCTTGATTGGATGTAAAACGTATTGCTGCAACCAATAATGTAATTTAAAAATGTGTTGTTACCGTTTACGGCACCCTCCCCATGATGGTTAGCATAGAAAAAGAGTGTTGAATAAAGATGCTTACGTTGATTTCAGCTCTTAGTGTTTGTTTGGGTGTTTTAATGGGAATTTGGATCTTTCAGATCAATTAGAGAAGTACCTAAGATATCGTTCCACATTTGATTGTGTGTAATGTAATGTGGGGAACTGGTCTTGGTCTTGACTGTGTCTCGCCGTCCCTCGGTCTTGGTTTTGACTTGGTCTCAGACCATAAAAGTTTTGGTCTTGTCTCGGTTTTGATAAACTCTGGTCTTGGTCTTGACTTGGTCTCGGTTTGGGCGGTTTTGACTATAACACTACTTTCCCTGAATTGGAAGCGTATTCTGAGCTATTCTCATCACATAAAAACTATATTAACTGTAAACTGCATTGAACGGTGTCCTCTTGCAGCAGCAAACAAAAGAAATGGGAGGAAACATAAAAATTATGTTTGAAAATCAGATCTTCTCCCTTTTGAAATTTTCACTCACTGTGAAAATATTAAATGTAATCACTCCCTCAATGTGGATATATTCAGCTCTTTCAAAGACATATAATACTTCTTTTTGAAAGGAACATGGGAAGATAATATTTCTTTGGCTTGCTTGGCAAATTTGGACTGTTTGAAAACTGGCTGGCATCCACTGTTTTTAGGTGCTTTTGTGACTCAAATAATTAGGTTCATTATATTGTCCGTTTGTTCCGAACTGGTGGCATCACTCCAGGCTTTACACACTGAAGTGTTTTGAAGTTAACTCAGCTCTTTGAATAATTTAAGAAGAGGGTTCCCTCGCAATGGATGGAATTAATATCTGACCAAAGTGCTACAGATTCGGTCATACAAGCAAAGTCACAGATATTTTATCTATATTATGAAATATGTCCCTTTTTTATACAGGACTTTTTTGTGTGTGTCTTGCATTGGATGGGATGTTACACTAAATCAGGATTTTCAACTGTTAAAGCATATCTGCAGCTTTTAGGTTTTAATCAACACTCAGTTGTCCTTTAATGGCTACTGCAGTGAGTCAGGAGAGAAAAATGTAACTCTTACTCGGTTCTAATTAAAGTCAGATTTAAAGCTGACTGATGTTGTAGTGCAGGCAGCCTGATTTTAATACAAACTGCTGTATAAATTCATTCTCAGCTACACTGCTCTTTTTGATGTATTGATTTGAAATCCTGGGAATCTCTCTGCGAAGATTTTCTTGTCTCAGAATCGATGGCAATGTAATTGGATAGGAGCTCTCGTGGCTCTAATTACAAACTTGGACAGATGAATGGGGCTCTCAGTGATCCAACATAGACTCAGCACGAAGGAATTAGGCTTTGAGTTATGTTCGAGAGAGAGAGAGAGAATCTAAAATAATGTAATTTTGTCTTTCTTTTCTTACAGTTCATATCAACTTTTCTGCTGACAGCTCAGGAAAAGGCTCACAGGTAAGAAAAACAGTTTACACGTGTGATTCTTTATTTCCTGTGGGTAATTAGTCTGAAACCTTTCTTGATAGTTTCTTGATAATTAGTGTTAATTGTTGATTTCCTGGTCACCTCACCTCTGTTAAAGCCTTAATTACCTGAGCAGCTGAAATTGATGACCATGTTTGATTTGCTCTTCAGTACTAATTCGTTTGCCCTTTCGTCAAGAGCAAGATGATTTTCTTGCTGTTGCATTTTCAAAGTCTGCAGTTGCTGCTCGATAAATAATTAACATGTTCGCTTGCTCTACTTCTTATTGGTGTGAGAAGATGTTGACAGTAAGCCTCCTGGCAGAGGTGCTTAGCATCACAGAAATGGTAAATCACCAGTTATTTCCCTGCAGAGGAAGTTTCACCCTTTTGCTGTGTCACTTTTTCATTTTTCTGATATTGTTGTAAACCGTGTTGGGCAGTAATTAGCATAAACTAAACATCCAGTGTGATATCAGTGAAAATGAAAAACATCCTGAAACAATTGGTTCTCTGTTAGTTTGCATTTATGAGAAGCAAACAAAGATATTGGCCTCTTAAGCTTGTTTTCTCCCTCAAATTATTGTGCCACATTATCAGTGTCCCTTCACTTTTTCAAGTGCCCCTTTCCTAAAAAAGAACGACTAGAGACAGCTGCCTGTCAAAGTGAATAAGCGAAGATTTATATTACATCCATTCAAGAGAAGAAACCCTTCAAGGGAATCGAAAGAGCCATGTTTTTGCAACAATGGAAACGTAATTTTGGAATAAAAATGTTCTCTAATGCACTTCAACTAAAGACATTTCAAGAGAGTTAAAGAGTTACTTTTACTAAACTGTTACAATACATCTTTCTTAGACATAAATATCTATGAAAAGAACGAAGAAAAAATGCTTTTTTCTGTCTTCTCCCCCATTACTGACCCTGACATGTGGCTGCTAGTGCTTTTGAGAGCTTGTAGAATTGTTGCCTATTTCGTCTCTGTCACTTGCCTAACATGCCCTGTGTTTCTTAATGCATTTACAATGCATTTGAATAATTGAATATCACAAAACTTTGACAGGTATTTCCCAGTCAGAGAGTAGAACCAAAATGTGTTTTACACCGTGTACCAGAAATTTGTTGAATTCATGTTTGTCGTGTGTTTTTTCTAACAAAGCCCAACTGTAACTGGAAACCAGGTTGTTGGCCCCTTTTTAGATCTCCTGAGCTGAAGAACAACATTAACAAATTAGAAAGGAATACAGATTTTTAGGTCATGGAAGCGCTCCAGTTTAGCCATGGAAAGTCATGGAATTTACATCAGGGCCATGGCAGTCATTTACATATTGTATACAACATTTTATGCTTATAAGTTAGTGGACTAAGTAAACAGACTTGTTTTATTATTTCAAAAGTAAAACCATTGCTGAATAAAGCCATTCATTATTGGTCTTGTCACAGATAATTGTTGACTTTCTAACAAAGTTGCAGTATACTGTTTGTGGAACTGTTTTTCCAGTGTAGCTTAGAATTGATAAGATAATATAAACAATACATATCTAAGCTTCAAGATGGAAAAAAAAAAATTATTGTTGATTTGTAGTTGAACAGTACAAATCTAAAATCATTTTGATTCCTGTCTCTCAAATCCATGTTAACAGAGAGATAGATATTTGTTTTTGTTGGTGCCAGATACTTCTGAGATTTGATTCTCAGGAACTTTACTGCACGCAGCCTCAGTAGGTAGACACACCACATTTGATTGATATTTCTCTTAACCATACAGAGTTATTCAGAAGCATAGAAAGGTAGTTCTGACTAAATGATTATCATGCCAATACAGGATTTAATTTAAAGTCTAAGACCATATTGGTGGTTAGAGGATTTAGCTCTTATTTTATATTACTTTATATATTATATTCCACCCATTTTCCAAAGTTATAGATGGTTAGTTTGGAATCCACAATTCCTATCTTGGCAAAACTTGCAGAGCTAGATAATAATCAGCTAATTATAATCAGCTAAAATGAGTGGCTTGACAGTAGTTTTTCTGAAAAACCACAATACAATTTGCAACCTTTATATGTTATAATTTATAAGTTATAATTTTACATTGTTTGCTGTGTTAAAATAGATGAAAAGATCGTCATCATCTGTGAAAGAAAAGTATTATAACTTGATTTAATCATTTATTCATAAAAATCTGCCATGTGCTCTCTGTTTTAAAGTATGGTCTCTCAGAATGCCATTTGCTCTTCTGTGGATCTGTGTCATGTTTCTGAAATATAGTGAGTGTGTACAGATGATTTCCACAACACATCTGTTTAAATTTTCAAGCAGACATACTTTGCTTTGATCAGTGTTGTTGCATATAATAACATGGTTGCAGCAGTAAACATTAAAGTGTAATTTTCAGTGGCTCTGTTTGAACACGGTCTACGGCTTGCATATAGATCACGTTTTAGCATCTTTCCCTTCCTTTGAAGACTGCCTGAAGACTCTGATGACTGGCATCAGCTTGAACTTAGAGTGACTTGGAGAAGTTGCCGATGGCAAGCACAGGTACCGTGATTATCTGCCGCTTCAGGGGCTGCATAAACAGCCTAAACAACAAGTGCACTAAATGTTAGCTAATGTAAACAGAGGTGCCTTGATCTCATGTACTCATCAGAACAGTGAGAGGATGCTTGATGACTACATAGTGTGAGGAATTATTGTAAATGTAAATGCTCCGTACTTGTACGGCACCTTTCTAGTCTTTTCGACCACTCAAAGCGCTTTTACACTACACTCATACACTTGATTGATTCGGGGTTCAGTATCTTGCCCAAGGACACTTCGACACGCAACCAGGGGGAGCCAGGGATTGAACCGCCGCCCTTCCGATTAACGGCCAACCCACTCTACCTCCTGAGCCACAGCCGCCCGATTATTTACAAACTTCCTGCTGAGGGTCCTGCAAACCTGACTGTTGTGTGACTTTGCCACCATTCAGTACAGATACATGAGAACACTTTTAAAAGAAACTGCAGGAAGCTTTATTCTGAAAGGGGTGGCCTCGCCTTCAAAGGATGTTCCTAGATGTGGGGGAAAAGCAACAACCAGTCATACGACAAACACAAGAACACAACTAGTACAGCAGAAGTAATTCAAAGTGCTGATCTTTGTGAGTCATTGAGTTCTTTCATGTGTTTTCAAGGCTAAATGGTCGCCTCACAAGTTACATAATGCAAACAGTTTCTTAGGTTCATCTTCAAGCTGTGCAGGATAAAACTGCTTCACAGTCAGGAAGAACACCTTTATTTTAATTCCTAGTAAATTACACTAAATACTGTCTTTGTAAACGTGCAACCCAGATGGGAGACATAAGCACTCTTATTTGCCACCATAACCAACTTTGATTAGTTTCTTTGGCCTTTGAAGTGTAGAGATCTTCATCTGTGTGTAGGCTGCACTCAGTCTTAAGTGCCGTTCGGTTGTTGACATAATGCCCAGTCTTGAAGGAAAAGAGCTGCCACCTTCCTCAATCACACACTCAATTCAAGTCATCATGTCTGATTGGACAATAAGATCTTCTTGCTTTCTGCCAAACATTTTGCAGAGATTTGTCTTGAAACTTTAATCTGTGCTGCCTATGGCCTCACAACATGCAAAAAGAGCTTTCCTTATTCTCCAGCATCTCCTCATCATGGGCACTTGTAAGAATATCAAACTCAAGAGGACGTGTGTGAGACTGTCAGCATCATTGCTTCAACTCTGCTGCAAGGGCCTTATGTGTTTGTTTAACAATGTGCTTTTGTAACCCGTTCTCCTGGCTCGTGTAGACTATATTTGTGACAATGAGTCCCAATCATGAGAAATTCAGATAAAGAATCCACAATTCTGAGAAATAGTACATATAGCTCAAGCGTTGGAGCTAGAGTAATGTTTTCTTTCTTTCTTGTTTTTTTTCAAAGTGCTGTGACTAAAATGTGGTCAAAAATATCTCTCAGCAATCTCATGTCGAGGCCAGGAAGCATACTGTGACCCGAAATAACTTACACAGCAGGGCTTGACAGTAACGGTTGCCCTGTTGCCCAAGGCAACCAGATTTGGACCACTGTCAACAATTTTGTGCGGTCTGGTCATCTCTGTTGGCAACTGTTTTTCCTGTGCCTAGAAAAACAAAGCTGAATCTCTCTGTGTACAGTTCTAACTTAGTGAGAGTGCCTGTTGACCTGTTTTACTGTGTGAGAAATTGTGAAATTCTTGAAGGAAAAAAAACTGCTTTATGTAATTACACAAAAGAGAGTATTATTAATACAGAATTAAATGGACCTGATGAAAATTACTTGCCGAAAACTCTTTGCAACATACTATCATCGCTAAACACCACATCTTGAGACACAGGGCTACAAGGGAGGTAAACAAGGGAGGGCAGACAGTGGTGGACTTCCCATGTCCATGCCTATACACATTGAGTATAATAAGTGGTTTAATATAAAATTGGGTTAATTATTTGATGTTTGCATGTCAGTCAGGGCTCCTTGTAGGGCAGGGCCCTTTTCAATCGAAGGCCACAAGTGCAGGCAGCTAAAACATCAACACCAAACACCAAAACTGTATTCAAGAATATGACCAAACTCGAGATCCTGGCAAACTGTTTAAAATATTATTTACCACATTTCGGACAGCAAAGGACCTTTTTCAGAATCGCCCACTGTGATGCGACAGAATTGTCAAGCTATGGAATAAATCAGGCTTGCAGGACTTAAATATTCAGCCTATTGTTAATGGCATTACTTTGCAAATGTGAAATTTAAATGCAGTGAAATTAGCAGCTCTCTTTTATTCTGGATTATTAATGAAGGTAAGCCACTTGTTCTTAATCAAATCCCCTTTTATGTGTGTTTGTGTGTCTCTTGCACAAAGAGAGAGAGGGGGGAAAAACATTTTGTCATTTGAAGCAGTTTAACCCATAGATAACATATAAATTATACAGGTCACATTGCCCTACCTCAGTGTTTACTGCTACTTACTTTAATGGATACAGTATGCTTGTTGCTATGGATACCATCCAGCACTAGAAGCACTGCATCTTATGCCAGTTAATTACATATTAAAGTTAGCTTAACTGGATGTATATAATTAACTAGTTGTGGTGGTTATCTCCATAGTAAAACTGGGTAACAGCAGCTGCAGTGGTGTAGCCTAGCATTAGCTAACATTAGCAGTGATGCCAATTTATCAACTTTCAAACTAGACTTGGCGACTTTTTAGACGCCTTTAGCAACTCTTTTTCAAAAAAGTGCCTAGCAACATATCTAGTGACTTTTTGGACAGACTCCTCCCCACTCTCCTTGAAGAGAGTCGCCAATAATACTCAGTGAATGTGCTCTCATGTGGCTGTCTCTTTCAGGACTGACGCACTTCAGCAAGTGGGGGGGGAAGCAGCAGCACTTTCAGTTTACCAATCAGCAGCCAGACAGAAACGTGCATGAGCTGTGAATGTGCTTACTTAACTACAAGAAAGTACTGACTTTACAAGAGGAACTTTAAGTGTCTGGATCCTCTCATTTCATCATACTTTTTTTCCAAAGTCTGTACAACAGCCATAATAAAAAGTGTTTGAAATTTAGAGGTAGATTTAGATATGTATTGTTGAGATGATGGCAGCTTGAAAAATAATACTAGCTTATGATACAGCTAGTTAATCAGTTAAGTTTAGCTTGACTTAATATTTTTTTATTGTGTGCGTAATATTAAAAGTGAAAACATACTACTTGACAATACAAACAGGTAGGTAAGCAAAGCAGCTAAACAGGCTTAATTTAGAAAGAAATAATAGCCTGATCTACAATTTGTACTAGCTTCACTCTGCAGGGAACAATGCTGTTTCATTCCATGTCCTCGTCATGGACCATCAGCTGGTGAGGATGCCGGCTTTTTGCCTGAAACATGCAGCATTAGCCTCAATCATTTAGCACAATATCATGTATGTAATCATCAATTGCAAATTTAAGATCACTTTTACAAGATTCTCATTTTAAAATGCTGGAAAGATTAAAAAGTCGAGAGGCTGTCTGAACCAGTCCATGAAACTAGCTAGATTTGTCAGCTCGCAACAGCTGATAAAAACATTTCAGCCAGCAAAAAACAATTAAAAAAAAACGTCTTCAGCTTGTGTTTACCTGCATCTTAAATCACATCATCATGCACGTCATGGGGGAAATTGTTAGCACCATTAAGAGCAAGTTTAACTTGTCAGTTTTGAGTCTTTTTGCGCCAGACCATTATCATCAGGGTTTTTTTCTCATAGATTCCAGTCAAAAATCAGAAAAGGGCTATAAAGACAATCTGACAAGAATAGCCCTCTGATGTTAGGCAGCAGACGTGGCCTATTAAATCATTACACATTTTTCCTTGTGTATGAAAAAATACTATTGAATGAAATTTTAATCTGTCAGTTCTTTTGGCACCCTGACATGGAGGAGGGATACAAAAGGCACTTAAACCGCTCAATAGATCTGAAAGCATCCTCAACATGAAGCTTACAATTTGCACTTTACCAAGAACTGATTTTATTCCATAGTTAATATAAATGTAGAGTAAAAAATGAATAATAGTGATCTACTCCTCAGGTGTTTCAGGTGCCCAGTGTCTTGTGACAGCCAACTTCTGTAAACATCACACATTTTTCTTTCACATGTCAAAATTCAGAAAATCCTGCAACCTTGAATCCCTCTTGCCATCAGTGAACAGAAAGCTAATGTGACCTGACGGGTCACTCACATCAGTGGGGCGTCTGTGCCCTTGGGATTGAGAGATGTAGCAGGGGGCAGGAGTTCTACCACGGATGTATGTGAAGAGCTTCCAAATCAAAGGCATGGATCAAAGGGCTGTCTTTGTGGGTGTCCTTAATTACAAAATAATCACATTGAGTAGGTTGAGCATCGTTCTCAAGGAGTTTACACATGTATACCTTAGCCGGGAAAACTTTTCCTGCTGTTGTTCTGAGGTTAAACTACAAGAGGCACAATCTTTCTGTCTATCTGCATCAGTGCTGTGCTGCCACAGATCAAAAGCGCTCAAGGGATGGTGAAAGTAACCTTTCACATGGACAGTGTAGACTCATTGCAATTTCTTTTTAACACCTATGGGTGTCTGATTCCCGCTGCAAATGGCTGACAGCCTGTTGTCAGATGAGATTAAGGAGAGCGTACCTGCGCGCACGAGCATAGAACACCAAAAAGGGCTGAGTTCTGTGAGCTGAGAATAATTCATCTCTCAGTAATAGTGAAAATAATGCTAGGCCTGATCTGAGTTCACTCTGCCGCAGAATATTAGATCATTTACCAGAGAAAGATTTGTAGCCATGGTGCCACTCGTCTGCAAATGCAACCAAGGAGCAGGATTAAAAAAGGTATTTTGTTAAAAGTTACACTGACCTTTATGCCGTTTGCTTGGTCATATATTTATCTGTATTCTTATTTTGGTGTGTAAACACCAAGGACAGTGTAGTCGAAGTAAGTCGAAGACGTTATTGTTTTTATGTTGTGTTTTATAAATATATTAAAATGTTGTCAACAATCTACACCAAGAAACTTTTAATTCTTGATTAAAGTTAAAACTTGATTCTGGACCTTTTCATATAAAATATCACTGGTAAATGGAAAACATAGGAAAGCATACATTTTAGTATGTAGTCCAGGGAGCTTAAGAAGGTGTTTCGACTAAAAAATAACATTTGTGTATGTATAAGCACAAAGGTCAGCATTAGCAGGGCCATGTTGCTACAGGTACAGTTGAGAGGATGATCTATGATCTCAGAAGTCCAAACTGAGTAATGCATCGGAGGCTAAACCGACCGATGTCTGTAATACTGTAAGACAGGGTTTACAACTAGGGAAGTTACTTAAGTCACTTATTCTGTTCTCCTTCACAGGTAAACAGTTATCAGTAACAGTAAAAAGTAATCTACAGTACATAAAATGTGCACTTCCATGTAATTAATTGTCCAAAGCAATGACTTTCTGAATGATGTGTTGTGGACAAGCTGAGCCAGGTTCAAATTTTTGGTTGAACTGTTTTGCCGGAGGCAGCTGCGTTAGAACCCCTGCTGTGCCAAAATAGTGGTCTAACTGAAATTAATAAAGAGACAGTTTTTTCTTTTGGGACTCAACTCGGCCTGTTTTACAACAGCTCATTACAAAGGGACACAGGACATTACAAATTGATGTATAACAGTATAGATGTAGCTACAGTTTGGCTAGACTTAGATATTTCTCATTAAAGCTTTGTTAAAAACCTGTCATAACACATTAGTTTTTATTTAGGCTCTTGTTAATTTGTGTAGTAGAGACACACACACACACACACACACACACACACACACACACACGAGTTACACACACACGAGTTACACACACACACACACACAATCAATGTAATCGGTAACATTTAACCAACCAGTTAATTCATCACATTGGGGGGGTCTTGATTTATTTTGTTTGACAGGAAAAGTGCACTGATTTTCTGCTTCCTCTCTGCCGGAGAGTTAAGTTGTGCTGGAGGAGACGGAGTGAAAAACTTCTTCTGTCTCAAATCATATACATCCAGACAAGCTCTTACGCTCCTTTGATTTGCTTTGATTATTTCCCTCCTCTTTTTTGTTTTTTTTCCTCTCTGTATTAACCTGTTGTTATATTGAATATTTTTTTCAAGTTGGAAAGATTTTATATCAGTAATTATCTGATAACAAATCAGATTCTCCTGGCTTACGAGATGCATTTTTTCCATGAGGTGCGTTCTCTCTTCAGCTAAGGAAATGATTTCAGACGAGAAGTGTGTGATGAGATGAGACAGAAACCTTTTGGGCATGACTAATGCTACTGAGTCCAATTAAGCTGATGTCTTGTACCCACTGAATTAAATCACCCTGATATGATCTTGTCTGCCTGTGCATATATTTGCCTCTAACTCTGATCACCTGAAGAAATAAGAGAAGACAGAGAGCCTCACATATGCATGATTCATCGCTGTACATATCTTTATAATTGGTGAACTTTCTACTATTATTTCTACATCTGAAAATGTGCCCCGTTTGATTCTTGTTGAAACGCTCGATTCAGGATTTGATTAATATAATGGGAAAGATAGGAAGTGCAGAAAATGTGCCCTACATAAAAAATAAATGATGTGTAGTCATGACAGTTGCGGGAAACCATTAATTGGAAGGAAATTGACCAATTTAATAGTTTGTTCTCTATAATAAAAATGGCTGCTGAGAAAGCAAGTTACATCCCTCGTTCACACAACTGCCACTGAACTACTGTGTGCCCTGTAACCACTGCACCACACCTGCTGAGTGTGAATTTATGACTTAGTTAAGCTCTCTGAAGGCTGCAACAGCTTGCCAGTAAAATGATTGTTAGTCTAGAGGAACACATAAATCAAAACAGGCCTTGGTTTGTCATTATCTATTAATACTCTGCCGCTCTAGAGCTCTGGAAACAGCCAGAACTCGCACATTCTTGCCTTCTCCCAAGACTGAAGATTTCCTCTGAAAGATAGAGGTAGAAGACAGCTCTTCAAAGTTTGCTCAGCTCGTGATTGATTTACTCATCCCTCCATGGTCTGCCGCGCGCGCTGACGGCTCTGGAGGTGGAACAGTGTTGAAGGCCTTAATTGAGCCGAATGCGGAGAGCTTAAATGCTGCAGGCACAAAACCCACACAATTAGGAAGGACTAATGACGTGGGGTATCACCCATTATTTCTCCAAATACCCCATAGGGCTTACCATATTTAGTATCGCTAAGTCTTAATTAGTGATTAGGAAGAGGAAATAGAGCATTTAGCTGAAGCTGAGCATCTTCACACAAGCCAGTATTTGACAGTTTCTACATCTTTTGTTAAAGCCAAAAAGTCTGTATGTAGGTCATTATTTGAAGACGTGTTTGAACATGTTTTTTTTGTTGTTGTTGTTGCTGTAATTATTAAAAAGTTTCTCTCTTTCCAGAGCCAAGATGATATACATGTCATCCACAACAATCAACTGGGTAAGTTTTTTTTATTTTTTTATTTTAATTTATGGTAGTAGCAAAAGTAAGGAAGTAATAAAAAAAAGCAAAAAAGGAAAAAATGAATAGGTAATGGTTTATATTACAGCCGAAATTATAGTGAAAAGATTACGTACGAATGAGGTGCCAATGAAATACTTTCACCCTTAGTTCTTGTGCTTCAGTAAAAAATTTGCATTTAGGAGGGACCCTGAAATAGACTGTGTACTGTTAAGTACCTTAAGTACCAAATGTTAGCCTGCTATAGCCATGTTATGAAAAGGAGCCAACCTACATGTGTTCTTTTCACTTCTGAGAATAAAATAATATAAATATAAAATATATCAACTTTCTTTGTGTACGCACCTGAAAGGTGGAATAGCTCAAAACACCAATAAACTACGATAAATGTACTTTCTGGGTAAAATTAAATTCTCCTGAATGTGATGGGATGATATGACAGAACATAAAGCTGGTCTAGGTTCTTTGCTAATATCAGCTTTGACTGTCAGGTGGATGTTGCATTACTGTTTTATGCATTACAATATTTTATCATCATTATAAAGACCGTTTTATAGATGTACATCTTTCTTCCCATAGTTATATAAGGTTATGTTCTCCTCCAAAAACAAAGGAGCTTTTTAGAATGTAATTTCCAAGTATTTTTTGTAGGTATATCTAATTTTAAAATAAATCATACCATAACTAATTCCATTGGAATGTCACCAAGGACCTTTACTGTCTCGTTATCCTGGAACAATGTTACTGTGCCCTATAATTATTCAGTAATTGTAAATGCTTTCAATTTATAATACTATAAAGTCTCTCTAAAACACAAAGTTGTTATCGCCTTATTCCATAACCTCTAATCAGTATGTATTTTATAGAGGCCCTCTATATACTGAATTTACATTGTAATTTTCAGAACTTAATAAGGTGTTAAAAATTAAGGTGTTATAAAAGACTATTATTTACATTTAGCTGACGCTTTTATCCAAAGCGACTTACAATTGCTATACATGTCAGAGGTCGCACGCCTCTGGAGCAATTAGGGGTTAAGTGTCTTGCTCAGGGACACAGTGGTGGATTGGTCACAATGGGGGATTGAACCCGGGTCTCTCACACCAAAGGCATAGTCTTATCCATTGCGCCATCACCACCCCGAATAAAATATGTCTATTCATAATTATTTCAATTGCATTGATGCTGTGTGTGATGGCACCTGTGTTCAAAGTATTCACAGTACAGGTTGTATTTGTGTTATTATTTGATATTTGGATCAGTCTGCATCAATGTAATCAATATGTAATGTTGGATGACATTCAAAGGGGTGAACTAGTACTCAGTATTATACAGTTTTAATAGAACTTTATGCTAAAAGGATTGAAATACATTATCACTTGATATAATCATGAGTAGTAAATCTTTAAATGAGAAACGTTGGACACTGTGAAATTTAAATAGCAAATGCTATTAAATGAAAATGGTAGGGCTTTTGTCTGATGCCTGCATTAAAAATTTAATCTTCAGATTTCCTCAGACTTTTTCGTAAATATAGTCCCATCTCTTTATTGATTTGACAGCAACCAGGAATTTCATAAGTAGAGCAAATAAAAAGATCTCATGCATGCCTTTCATGCTTCAGGGGGCTCATACAATCCTCATCTGAGAGTGATTTTCGGGAGCCTGCAGAAGAGTTTGGAGCCAGTTTTCTGGACCTGTGCCTGTTGTTCATTCAACTGGGTCACCACAGACGCAAAAGCACACAAAAGCAACTTCATAATGCTCTCATTTGGCACCTCAGCACAGGGAGGAAACACAAACAGACAGCTATCTGAAAAATAGAGCTTCACTATCTGGCATCGCCACAGTAATTCCCTTTGTCACACCAGAAAAGCTACGCTCGCCTGCAAAAAATATTGTTTGTGGGCAGGAATTCAGAAGAGGAATAAAGAAAAGTTGGACTTTCTATTGTTTTACAATACAGTGAACATCCAAAGGTGTAACTGGCTTGTTTATTTTAAAGGAGCTGGTGACCTTTTTAGAAGGTATTGTAATCACTCAAACAGTTTCTTTAGAGGGAATACAGGGTACCAAATCTAAATAGTAGTGATGTCTCATTTAACGTTTGGACACACTGCAGATTTACATTTTACCGTATCTTTATAGCAAAGTAAAGGCAGTGTGATTCCTCAGGCCATATTGTGCTACATGTAGTGTTTTTTAAAAATGCAACAAGCTACATCTCCACGACACAGATAGCTGAAACATTGGAGAACATCACCCACAGAAAGGCCTCAAGAGAAGAACAAACCAACTACAATATAAAGAACTTCATTGCTAATTTGTGAGTGCAGAAAACGTGCATAGTCATATGTTCTAATCAGTCCCCATTGAATGTAACATAACTCCTATTGCACAATCAACAAATAGAGTCAGAGATATTGTTTGGGCTGTCATGGAATACTCACTAGACTAAAGTTCTTCTTCTTCTTCTTCTCTAAATCAGTTTATATTAAAGGATATCAAAACAGCATTATATTCTGCAGCACCATAAAAACAATAAACATCAAAATAATACAGATCTTGCAATACCGTTTGCTGTCTAACCCAATCAATTCAGTCAATTAACTTTATTTCAGACTTGTAGAAAAGATAAAATGGATAAAATTGTGTTTTATATGCACAGAGCAACAGTGGAGGAGTCACAGTGATGAATAATAATACAACTTTTTCAATAAAACCAAATTTTTAAGAATAGAAGGTAGTTTCAGTTCATGTCCAGTGCTCTCACTTACTGCTCCTGGTTTAGGTTTCACATACATACATGTGCAGTATATGGAGGTAATGCATTTGGACACCAATAGCTGTTAATGTTTTGAGAAAAGTCTGAAGTTTGAACCTGATTTTTGATGTCTGCCAAGCTTAGCTTCTTATAGATCCGAGGCAATACTGTTCTTATATCTTATGTTATGTCTAAGTGGTTCAGTAAAATCCTGTTGGCTATTCACCGAGACCACAGTAATGTATTATTTACTTTACTATTAGTAAGATTATATGTTTTCCTTTTACTTTTGGGTAGTTTATGTATTTCACTCTTTTTTTTTCATTTTAGTCAGCGCAGACAAATTTTGATCTAAGATATTATAGTTGGCTGCTTTTTATAACACATGAGGATTTTTATATCAAGATTTCATATTACAACTTGCTCCTAAAGGATTTTACACTGAGACACGGGAGGGAAATCACATCGTCCTACATTAGATGTCATAAAATTCCAGTTTTGAAATTGAGTTTTGTTGCTCAGAATTTGTCTTCCCCCATGAGTAAAGACAGTCAGTAATTTGTGGAACAAGAATAAAATAGAGGAAAGTAAACCAATGATTAAATCAGATTCTATTGTCCAAGTGACTGCATCTCCAGAGAATTCACATGAACATACTTGTTTCAACTGTTAGTTGTTTGTGTAGGTGAAAAGACGTCGTCTTCCTGCAGCAACTCACCTCTCACGAGATTTCAGAGCGAGAACTGTCCTTGAGTGAGAATTTTGTTGTTAAAAACAAAGGGTGTCACCCGGAGTCACTCATATGGATCCTTTCCATTATGTTGAACACCTGGTATAACAGTCCCTGAAGGAATACATTGCAGCCACTGCAGCCAGTTTGCGGCAGCTGGCTGAAACCATCTACTGCACTGATCCCAAAACGTTTTGTACCTACTTTGACATTAAAATATATTAAATAGTGCCTAGGTTTAAAAATATCAAAATTATCATGATCATGAAGCAGCTTTGGTCAATCCTGATTTGAGCTCCTTACTTAAAAAAAAAAAAAAAAACGCTTGGCTGCATTATATTGTGGTCTAGTGGTGCTTCAATGGTAGAGAAATTGCTGTTCCTGCCTCTTCTACTCTACCATTTCATTTTGTCTTGGCCAGGGCCTGTGTTTCTTAGAATGATTATTGAACTTTTGAACTTTAGTAGAAATAGACCTGTGCTCTATGACTAAGGAAATAGCACTAAAATCAGATGTTGATGTTGTGGGAAAATAAATGACTAAAGGTTTGGTTCTTTATCTGTTGGAGAAAGAATAATGTTTCAGCAAACAGCAGATACAAGGTACATCAACAAAACCAGCTTTTTTTTAAAGGTGGATTTTTCTTTTTAATGCATAGTGTTTGATAGGTGAGGGTACGGAGCAACTATGTACCACAAACACTGAATAATATTGCTTGAGCGCAGAGAAAGTGTGCCACTATAACAATACTTGAGCTTAGCAAAGCAGTTGCTACTGTCCCCTCTGCAGCTGTATTATATTCATGGGAGCCAGTTTCTTCAGGCCAGGGGGGTACGTATTGTATCTTCAAGGAGGTATAATGTTCAGAAGATGTTGACTGAACTCTTCCTGCGTACCAACTAACTACTACCAACAACTACCAACTTTTCCAAATTTTCTTATCCTCTCAAGTTTCCTAGTGCCTGGCTGCATACGAACTCTGTTGTCCCTGCTATACTTTATTTATTATTCTAAACATGGCTGATGACTTTATTTTAAAAATTAAAGAACATTACGCAATAATCCTCAATGTCCCAAACAGTGTTAGCAGCTATTTTGCTGTATGGGGTATGAAATCATGCATCTTGCAATGAAATTCAGCTTTTCAGAAATAAGGTAAAAATCAAACTAATTTTCAAGAAGTGTCTAATCCATTCCAAAATACTATAATGGATAATGAATGGGTTTCATAAGAAAAACCTGGAATCTGTTCTGTGTTAATTGCCTTAGCTTCTTGAATTATTGATGCTAAGTGAGGTTTAAGGGTTGAGTTCAGCACTCATTAGTCTTCAGCAGAGTTGTCCATGGAGTCATGAACTCTGGAGAACCTCTAATGAGTGCGATTATCATAGGTTGGAGACCCTTTTTTTTCAACCTTTACATGTTGTATCTTCCGTGTGATTGTTTTGTATGTGTGTTTTTGCGTTACTACTCGGAGAGAATTGT